TTAGTAATTTTTCGTTATACGCCTTTTTTCGAAGTTAATTGGAAGCTACGTGCACGGTGTGGAATTTCCACAATAAACCCTATATGTTGGAAAGTTGGAACGAATCCAGAAACAATATTTTTGAGATATTTGTATAATATATAACTTTATGGGTATTATCCTTATACATATGTACCCTATATATACCCTTTATTTTGGGCATGGTGTCGTACAGATCGCTTGAGAGCAGGCGAAAACTGGCGCTTCCAAAATATACCTATTTTTAACCTAATAAGAGGATATTATAATTAACCCTCCTCTATTGGCTCAAAATCTTTTTTTTATCCCGCCAATATCACGTTACTTCCTTCGTCAGCGCAAATACCCTTTGTTCAACTTTCATTTAACCCGCAAAATGACACTAAGTCGGATACCTTTCTTCGAAGCGCTAGCCGTTATCGAATTTTTAAATGATATTGACGTGTTTAGCAACAGTGAATCAAAATTTCTAACATCCGCTGGTTACTATTTGGAGACGGTCACCGCCCAAAGCTCTGTGGTCTAAATTCCACATCTCACCTTTGGCCGGCGATCGACTGTGTTCCAGTTTTGAAGGGTAAGGGTGCTGGTGAAATTACAGGCACATGGGACTTGTCAATGGAGTGCCCCTCAGATCTTTGCAATTTAAAGCTCTGAGTGGCACTGTAACTGGACAGGCGTGTAGCTTACCATCAGGCGAACGACTTGTTCATCTCGTCACTTGATGTTATTAAAAAAAAGACTCCACCTTTATGTGACAGTGACTTACATGTTCAGTTATAAGTACCGTATGTGTAAGTTGTACAAAATAAATAAATAACATTTACTCATTGACTTACAAATAAATGGACAACGGGTCTAATACAAAAACCACGAAAAAAATGTCCCAAGTCAACCTATTCGAAATTTAAATTGTAATGTCATCGCAGTATCGCGCTGTCAGTAGAACAAATGAAGACTAAAGCGGAGTGTGGCGCTCTGTATACGATTTTAGCGCCTTACAAGTGCGGACACTTTTTAGCGCGGACCGTCCATATAATTGTAAGTCAATGCATTTACTCGATTTTGTCTGATCATGTGTGAATCACATGATCAGACAAAAACCACGATGTCGATCTACTATTTCTTACAAGATTACTCGTTTTGTTCAATTACACGAGTCGATCGTCAAAAAATCGAGTAAATCTGTTGCAGGCACCTATACACAGCTACGCAAGTAGAATAAAGATAAAAAACAATATCATCAGTTGCGATTCACCGTTTATCGGTCTCCAGTCCCACATCGTGACTATTATCGCATAAAACTAGGATGAATCAGTTTCGCGCACTTTCCGGTAACCAATCTCAATAAAACTTGGCAAATAGATGTAATTCCATGAACTTTTTAGGTCGGTTTTTTTTTTATAAAAAAGTTATGGACAAACGTAAATGCGCTAGACAACTGTAAGATAACCTTCTGCTGTAACGATGCCCATGGTTTCGTTCCGTATGAAACTACCTTCCCTGTAGGTATAACCATACAGGTAAAGAAGTTTGGTTTTCCCTGATGCTATTAGTACGAAACGAGTGAAATATATATAGGGAATTTGTTTATAAGGAGACCAATATTAAATTTTGCACACCGTTTCCAATTTTTTATTCAAAGTTCGATGCATAATTATTGCGGTTATTTTTAGTTATTTTTTTTATAAAAATTTCATTCGCTTAGGGAAAATGTTTTGAAAAACATATTCGCCATATTATTACGCTCTACTAAAAAGCAAGGTTGAAACGCAGATTAAGAAGGTCGACCATCAAATTTCGAAAGATAGATTACAACAATGTTGACCGAAGTGTTCATAGTTAACCATTCTTGTATTGTTCGTCGTCTCAAAAAGCTCGGAAAAGCATGAAAGTTGGTTGGATGGGTCGCCCACGAACTCTCCGACAACAACAAAGACTAAAGTGTCCAAAATATCAATTTTTACTAATTTGCTCCAGCCAGGCGACCATGCTCTTATATAGCGGCAATAATTATGCATTATAATACTACAATTTAAACTTCTCTGCAATTGAGAATGTAGGGCTAGCACGATAAGGCGCGACTTGAGCGAGAGCGACATAAAGCGCGAGATACTGCTATTCTCGCATAGAAATCATGCTCTCTATGTCACTCTCGCGCAAGTCGCGCCCTGTTGTGCTAGCCCTACTTGGTCACACAGCGAACTGTAAATATTAAAGACACGAACTGAATTATCACAATCAAAATAATAACCAGTAAAAACGTCCATTAACTAGTTTTAGTAAATATTTATTTTTATGTTTAAACTAGTGGGTATTTATAGCTCCTAAAGTATGTATGGTTAAACATTATTATCAATTCTAAAAAAGTAATTTTAATAATTATATTTTAGAGTGACGTCACACGATACGTGGCGTCGGCGTCGCGAGCCCTAAACCGTGACGCTGCAATGCCTATGCATATAAATCAGATAGACATGCCACACGGTGCGTTGTAACAGCGCGCGGCGACGGAACGCGTGCGCATTGGACAACACTCCAGGAGACGAAGAAAATAGAGGTGCTGCCGTAAGTAAGTTAGCGACTTTACTTTGCAACACCGCATCGCTCGTACGACTTTCGGTGCGTTGAAATCATTGCGTTGCGACGCCCGTGTGGCATCGCTCTTAGTCCATTTATCAATTAATTATATTTAAAATGCATATAGGAAAAGTGTATGAAATATGCTTAAAATAGAAAATAAGACAAAATAGAGAATTTTCTATCTTTCACTCATCTTCTTAAAAGAGTCAATGTGCCTAAGTTATATATTGTATAATATAATAGCTAAATATAGGTATATAATCATTGACTTACAATTATATGGACGTCGGGTCCGCGCTAAAAAGTGTCCGAACTTATAGTGCGTTAAAATCGTATACAGAGCGTCATTCACGCTTTAGTCTTCGTTTGTTCGACTGACAGCGAAGCAAGCAAAATTAGACAGTACTGCGATGACATTACAATTTAAATTCAACGTTTTAACTTTTTCATATTCCTTTATATGTCACTACGTTTAAATAGGTTGACTTGGGACATTTTTTTCGTGGTTTTTGTATTAGACCCGTCGTCCATTTATTTGTAAGTCAATGTATATAATAGCTAAATTTGTTCTTAATTCTTAACAAGTAATTAATTATAATAAAAACGTCACTTTTATTCATGCGATATCATTTGGAATATATAATTAAATTAAATCTTGCAGCGGTGGTCCATGAGTATGACTCAGCGGCATTTTCAAGATTTCCCCGTCTTTGGATAAATGTACATATGCAAAACAGTTGCGAGCGCGTTTTTTACTGCAAGGGTATCTGTAGCCGCCGTTACGTAAGCGATTGCCTTTACTGTATGTGTGCCCATTCAAGAATAGAAGCTCCGATCCAGATGCCGTTTTTAGAAAGCGTGCTGAAAAACGTAAGATTTTTGGTTATTAGTGTTCTTAACAATATAGATTATTCACAGTTGATACAAGCGTATATATAAACTTCAGCTAAAGACGATTTTATATATGAAATAATAAATTATTGCAGAGGCCGGGAAGTAAGGAAATGCTAGAGTAGCAGTATTTTACGAATCAGGCGGTCCCCGTTCCCGCCGAGGTATATACAGTATTTTTCTCAAACCATGCGATGAAATGATAAACGACTAAAAAATGAAGGAGAATGTATAATAGAAAAAGCATAACGAGTTTATCATGACAAATTTTGTTTCTTGTTTTAAAACAGGTGCAATTCACTATTGTGTTTTCGCTCTTCTCACTAGAGCTTATTTTCGCGAACACAACAATAAAATAAAAAATAAAAATAACAGAAAAGAACTTGAAAGTACTTTCGTTTATTTTATCGCCAAATTTTTTAAATCTGTAGTGCAGGAATATTCGTGCACTATAATTAAACGCAAAATAAGTAATATCATGGAAAATATTCTTTTCAAAATTCTTGTAATTTCTCGTAATTACTGTGTTAGTATATAAATATTAGTATATATATTTAAAAGTTTAGAATGGTGGACAATAAGGATTTATATTCTTGTTCTTTTTTTGAAAGTAATGCATACATTTTCGAGCACCTATGAGAAAAATTTCAATCAACGTTTGCTTTAATACCAATTTCATTTTGTGAGAAACTAATATTACGAAGTTTTATATAACATTTTAAAGTATAAAAAAACGGGGAACAAACATAACGACTCTATGTATTGTCCTACGGACCTTCTTCTGAAGCAGTAGTTCCATTTAGTATAGTTTTCGCAATTTTTAACTCCGCTCTTCGACATTGTGATACGAGAGCAGTCACCAAGCGAATGAGAGCGAAACAAGGCAAATCGGCAATTTATGGTTTTGATGGTGCCACTTTTTGAGCGGCTACCGTGTATCTTACCAATATACATATATGATCGAAGTACAAATAGGACTACCTCGGGGGACCCACGCTTTGCACTGTGGGTACTGGATGAGAAGGTTTCGATTCCCGGTAGAACCAATTTGGGAAATTAACATTTGTCTGTTCTGTTTTCAGATAAACACCTGGTCTCAAAGTAGGAAACTCTCTGTACTCCCTTTGCGTACCAGAGCAATTGTATCTACTCAGGGGTACTACCCAAAACACCCAAATCAGAATCTATTTAGAAAAGTCGCGAAGCAACCGTTTTCCTACTAGACTACCACCGCTAAAAAGTTAATAATCGACTGTTATTAAAACAAAAATTTACAATTTTACTTACTTATTTTATTGTATTAACACAATTGGTAATTTGCGATTGCAAACGGAACAATGAACATTTTCCAGACGAGACAGGGACACGTATCTATAGGTTCCCAAACTTTTTGGTTCACCGCCCACTTAGGCGAGATATAAAATAGAATATAATAGAAAACAAAAAAATTCAACGCCCACCACGAAAAAAAAAAAAAAATTGAAAAGACGTACTTTTTATATTAACTTTATACAAAAAATCACAAGGAAAAAGCATTATACATATATTATAATAATAATATGGGGTGTAGCTGATACATATTTAGGTTTTTATTTCAAATATGATAGCACCACCCGGACAGCATCAACGACTCTCAATTGCTACCGCCTTTCAGAGCCCACTTGGGGGTAGGGACCATTTTCGGAAACTATGATCTATAAGGTTACGTATCTTCCGTCCGGAGTGATCATATGCTGAGAAGGTTCATGATTGTGTTTTATGTTGTCGATGCTTCTCAAATCTCCATTTGAATTCAAGGTCAACTTCGCTGGACAGCCACAGCTAATTCTTTTCGAACAACCATATCCAATAATATTTCGAGTGTTATGTCCACGTTTGCTGAAGGTATAACTGTTGTACAATAATAATTTCTTTCCATTACCAGACTTCACAAAGCGAACTGTAAGAGCAAAAAAGATAATTATTATTTGATTATTGTGTAAATAAATGAAAATAATTTTAGTAGCTGTAGACCTGCTTGTGGAAAAGTTCGTACAGGGTAATGCTGCCGCCATTAACGTTAAGGTTTCTAAAGATGTAACTATACGGGTGTAAGTATACGTATATAGGACCTGTCAACTTTATGCTTCGGGGTGACGGGCGCAGTAGCAGTGCCAAAGATCTTTGCGATTTAAATGCACTGCAAAGTATTACGGATAGTCGTGTCGCTTACCAGGGCTAGCTTGTTCGTCCTGTCACTTATATTACAAAATAAATGATTTAAGTGTCGAAATTTTGTGGGTTGTAGTAAAGGTTATTCTTTTTTACCTTCCTTCCTTACACGACGTGGTACTCACTTTTTTATTTGGTCAAGTAATTTGCAACAGAATGGCTATCCATTTTCCCTTGGTCAGGTTTTTAATAAAATCATAAAGTCGTGAAATGGAACAAACTTTTGTTTGTTTTTGTTGCTATGTTTACTATTTATTCGACCATAGTACTCGTCCTCAATTGAATGTATAATAGTGGAGTTTCAACATGGGAACACAGGAGTGCTGTTTTATAAACACACCGGTGATAACTTACTCGGCGACTTCGGCGTATATAAAACCCTACTACTATCATTATTTTTCCAGTTTATGCAAATAGTGCGGCTAAGACATATGTACTTATAAGTAAAACGTATCTACGTTTTGTAATAAACGTATTATTGCAATTGAATAGAGGAATAAATCCCCAAAGATGGGTTGCAGTCTCACGCGCTGCTGACACCGCTCAAGCATGTCCTGTAGATTGTAGTGTAGCCTGGAGAGTCCTGTTGGTTGTTGGAGTCCTTGTGGAGATTTGTCATTTCTTGGCGTAACAGGATTTATGGTAGCTTCGACATTATGAACTTTTCCACAAAAATGTGTATTATGCATGTGTATAAACACGTTACACCGTTAAACGTATATAAGAAACTATAGCATTTGTATTTTAGTATGATGAGAGACAGCACGTCTGCTCGCTCGGAGTTTAAGCAGAGAGTCGCGAAGGAAAGAAGAAAAATAAGTGACGAAGAAGAAAAGGAATTTAAGAACGATTCAAAATTTCAAACTAGATGGCCAGGAACCAGAGAAAAAGGTGGAAAGGGTACAAAGTTGGGATGACGATGAAAGAAGTCGCGTCATCATAGCAGAGTCTGTTCCTACTATGAATAATGACAATGTTTATAGAAAGAAATATTGTATTGTTTTTTTTTTCCAATTCACACTATACAAAGTCTGTTGTATAAAAGCTTAATTGTGATTTAATCATCTATAAGTAACATTAAAGATCTACGTCTAAAAACAGAATTGGCGATGTTATACATGAGGGTGGGGCAGAGTGAAGTGCAAGTCAAGTAAAAATTTAAGATTACAATGCAACTCTCTGTCGCTTGCGATAAGAAGCGTCTAAATTCCAAATGTCCATCTTGATGTACTCTTTAAACATTGTTTTTTCAAATAAATCGGTTGTTTGAGAAAGTAACGGCGCCTTCAAATTAGACGCTTATAGAAGCGCTGCAGTGGCGCCACAGTGGCGCTGCAGCCGCGCCGCTACTGATTTCTTTACAATATTTAGAAACACGCGCGCCGCTGTAGACTAGATATTCTATGAAAATTAGTTGCGCTACAGCCGCGCTACTACACAGAAAAAAAGGATTTCTACTAATAAGAAAGAGCAATTTCTCAAAATATTTGCTAATTCTGAAAAAATATTTATTAAAAGTAATAAAATATTGTCATTACAAAAATACTGCTTATCTTTTTCTAATACAATTGTACTCTTAACTTTATTCTAACTTTGAGACAAATACGTTCACTTCAAGATTTTATTTCATTTCTAATCAATTAATTGGACATTACTTACATTAAGAAATTTTTACCTCTTATATCAAATTTAAATAATCTGAAATGAATTCAAAATTTCTTGGGTGTATTTTAAGAAAATATATTCTTAAAGCAACATTTCGTTGCGATTTCAAAGTCAATGTTGTCGTGACATGTCGCCGAAGGCGCACGCGGTAACGATTACTTATACTTGTGCTTGTAATCATAAAAATCATAAACAGTCATTTATCCAAAGAAACAATACGTAGTATCTCTAGTTTGTTAGGGTGTTATTTATAGTCATAATTTAAGAAATTTGGTTACAGCATGAAATCAAACTACACAAGCACAACTTTAACATGCAATTAGTTCCATCACGCCACTGCTAGAAGGCATTAGTTGTACTCTGAAACGCGCTATCGTTTTGTTAACTTCAATAGTATAAAGTCATCTCATATATTTGGAATTGTTAGTGCTTTCTCCCGCTGTAGCATTTATACGGCACTGAATGGTCCTCAAGTATTTGAGAAGATTCCGTCCTATTTCTGTTACTTTAAGGTTTGGCACTGAACTGCGTGCTTTCACGCCAGTGAGACATACTGTTGGGTCCATAACCCTGTAAATTTACCCTCTTTGATATTAGAAAACGTAAATCTTCAGTCAAATAATTGAGTACCACTCAATTTTTCATTCTTTTTTTTTCTAATCAAAATCGGACATTTATAATAACAAATAAATATTTTGTTGAATCTAGAGTGGCTTTGTGACTTGAAGTAAATTAATTTGCTCTTGGATTAAATATTTCTGTCTTGTAACTAAAATACACTTTTGAGACGATTTTTTACTATTATCAAGTAATTATTCTCTAGCGTCTATAGGGAGAGGATCGTTTTGTTGGATTTAATAAATTTGTCTTCATAAAAAGAATTTTGTCTTTTTCTAAGTAATCTGTTTTTACCGTGTACTACTAATTTTTAACACTGCAGCACTTCTATAAGCGTCTAATTTGAAGACGTCCTAAGTAGAAACTTAATTGTTTTTAATTTGCATTTTTTATTGATCTCACGTCAAAAAAAAAACATAATAACTATGATAAAACTGAAGTTATTATTTTTCTAACAAAATATTCACAGTTGTAACTTATTTCTTCACCCAACGGTGTAATCAATATAATTAAATTTATTATTAGCAATCGTCCTTCGACAAAGTATTTTATTTAATGGAAATAAACAAACCATCTTTAGCGATATGATATCTAGGAGGGTCGTGGTTGTGAACGGTCTGAGCTTTTATGATGAAATTGTCTTTAGTCATATGCACAAAAGCCCTGCAACATTTTGATATCATGTTGGAACATGCGTATCTGGTTCCTCCGCCGCGCACGGTGCTGTTCTTGCTGTACGTATAACCGTTGAGGAGAAGTAATGTTGCTCCTTTTGCTGTTTTCACCAGCCTTCCTAAAAGGAAAACAAAACAGTTTAGATATTTTAATCACATGCAGCGGACAAGATAGTAGCTGTAGAGCTACTTGTGAAAGAGTTCATCCGGGGAAGTACTGCCGCCTTACCTATTCCTGAGAACGTGTGACATAACGTCAACTAATACGCTCAGAGCTTTAAATCCCAAAACTCCAACTGTCATGAATAGGTGTATCGCACGACTTGTTCGTCCCGTTGCTTGATATCATAAAAAAAACAATATGAATGTAGATCGGGTGATGAGTGGAGCAATATATAAGATAAGACATATTTATTACAATTTATTACACAATGACAGTTATTTACAAAAGCAGGAAGAGAACAATAGTCTAACAAAGAACATAAATATCTTCTTTTTATTGAATATCATGATGTTTTTACTACCACTAGTAAAGTAGATGAATATCTCATCTATTTTTTGTAAAAATACTCCACTAGTTTGTTATTGTTATTGATACAAAGATCGAAAAGATACAAAGAAAAATTTCTTCAGCCAGGCAGCTGATCCCGCTCGGCGCTCCCCTTCGCAGCTGCGGGCGATCGTAGCGGGGGCTCCGTTAGCAAGTAAGTCCGTAAGTAAGTTTGACAGCCGCAAGGACGACGACGGGGCGGTGTGGCCCACTTCCGTGTGGAGGGGAGGGGGAGTACGTAGCTCCTTCCAGGTGCTGAGAGGGCTCCGGTGCGGAAAGTCGATCCCGAGCCCTCTTACTAGAATACCCGGGAAGGCCATCGTGGGGTTTTAGACCTAGGGAGGATTTCCCCACGGAAAAAAAAGAGTCATTGAGGGAACAGATGGTTTGAGTCCAACCGGATTGAAGGAAATTTTCTTCGTGTTTGTTCGATTTGTATATCTCATCATTAATAAAAACAATATAAATTTCAAACCTACCACAGGTGTCAGTCACTCACATAATTAGTCGATACCTCAACATCGTAACATGTTTCACAGATTTCATTAGATATTCAACTAATTTTGAGAGCAAAAAACCAATATTGTTATTATTATTATAAGCAAAATCATTAATAAAGTACCAAAAACAAATACACACAAAGTAATTACAGTGTAATGAAAAGATAACAATTATAACACTATACATACATGTATATAAAATATTGACCTTAATCAAGTTAGCCTGTCGAGATACTTGACAGAATCAACCACAATTTGATTCAATTTGTAATGAAAATGGTGGGTGCAATAATTGAAATCGTTAGGTATTGCAATTTTTTTGAACGTGTTACAAGGAAATAAGTTATATGACCACCTTAAACAATATCGCACACGATACCAATAGGCTTAGCATGAGCCCGAAGACAAAAGTTATCTTTTCTTCGAACTATCAATTTTCTCTCGAAAATGTCGAGGAAATTGACGGTTCGAAGAAGAGATAACTTTTGTATTCGGGCTCATGCTAAGCCTGCAGACACTATGGTAACTCAAAACTGTTGCCTTGAATTGGAAATAAAAAAAAAACTTAATGTAACCAATATAACTAACTATACAGGGTGTAAATTTGAGACGGAGCAGCAAGGCCGGCTACCTTAATCGTTGTTGTTAAGGGAAAACGGTTCTAGAAGAGTTTTTTTGCGATTTCTGGCATTTCGAGTACTCTTACCTCAGTTGGTCCTATAGAGACTATTTATTGATGCCGATACCAGAGACCGGATCGAATGAAAAAAAAAAAGTTTTGTAAAAATCTCCTTTTATCTTGCTGACTGTACCATTCTTTCAAAATCTTTGAAAGCCAATCAAAATATCTTCAAAATTCATGGATAGCTTCTAGAACCGCTTTCCTGTAACTACAACGATTAATTTAGCTGGCCTTGTTGCCCCGTCTCAAATTTACACCCTGTATATTCTAATTCACATATAATCACATTATTCGCAATAATCTGTCGGCGGGCCGTTTTCGCGTTAAGACGATTTTGATATTTGAATATATTTCCCATTTATTCATTACCAAACTTGTACGTTAATATATAACATCATTGTACGTTACTATTTATAATAGTCGTGAATTGTGCTGTGTACGGCTGTTTATCATCATCTAAACGGGATAAAGAGAAAATTTTCTTTCGTTTTCCGAAATATAAATAAATAAACGCAATTTTTGAATCAATATAACGAGACGCCATAACTTCGTGAGCTAGTAGACAAAGGTTCTCGAATTTTTAATTTGCGTTGCCGATAAATATTACGTAGTGAATATACCTAATTAGTAACTAGGTAATGATAAACTTGGACACGCAATTTCAAATACCTTGGTTACCTCATTTAAAAGTACCTATCCAAAATACAACATTTTAAGTGCTTTTAATATATTTTTTAAATAAATTCATTATTATTCTAGTTAGTGAATTAATGAAAAATATAATATTATATCGATATAAACACCTAATGAACATGTGTAATTATTAGGATTCTGTTAATAGAATTAGAGATAACAGATACACTTAAGAATTTTCGCTATGTTGCCGCTCTGACCAAGTAGCATAATTGTGCGAGAAAGTGTTGGGGAACCCTGCCTGTTCACGCACACATTTGCGCGTGTGCAGATAGCGTCTTACTGTATGTAGTAGTAGTAGTAGGTAAATAACTTTCGACCATTGTATGGTTGTCCGGGGTGCGATTCTGAGCAAGAAATAACTAAAACTACACACGCAATCTTTGAAACTTAAAAACCATATCGACTGTGAACTGGCAACGGGTACTATCTCAATTGTCTAAAGATTTCACTTTTTAATACCATTTTATACTACTTCGTAATCAGCAGCGTTGTAAGAAATTCCATCTCAGATACATTTAACTTTGGCGCCAGAATCGATTTCATTCAACTTGTACTAGCTTCTAACCAGATGACTACATACATGACGCAAGCAATTATTTTCTTCACCTGTAAAATTGTCAAAATTGAGATATTACCGGTTGCCAGTTCACAGTCGATATTAGACTTCATAAATACTCCTATGTTACTCTAGCACGTAATCTATAGCTTTATATACAATCCCGACTTCGTTTTAGTGTACTTAGAAGGTGCATGATCATGTTGCGCGTTGCCACGCAAAATCATATTGTCTTTGTCCAAATGTATATATGCTTTGCATCCTTTTGCTGACATTGAACAACTATATCTGAAGCCACCAGCTCGTATTCTGCCACTGCGGAAGTAAGGGTACTGGTCGAGCATAAGAAGGCGGGTTCCTCGAGTCGTCGTGATGAAAGAAGCTGAAACTTTGCATTGTTTTCTGTTAGAAAATGTTTATTATAAAAATGGAAGAACAGGCTTTTTTTATGATATCATGTGACGGGACGAACGAGTCGTGCGCCTGGTGGCAACACCACACGACACGCTTGTCCATAGCAGAGGCAGTGCCACTTGCGTGGCAGAGGCACTGCCACTGCGCCCGTCACCCTAAGATATAAGTTGACAAGTCGCATGTGCCTGTAATTCTGCAAGCCTGTAATGGAGCTGTAATTAAAAAAAATAGGAAACTAATGCGTGCTTTTGACGCACAACTGGAAACTTCTGTCAAGTTGTTATTATAAATATTTGAACTTATTATATTCTATTAAGAACGTAATCGAAAAAATAATGAAAATGAAATAGTCAAAATCATGTCATTACTAAATTTATATAATAATAAGTATCTAATTCCATTTTCTTTAACGAATTGTTCATTTACATTATTTACACGGCAGTTAATAAAGGAAATACGACATTAAATAAGCTCAGCAGTATCGAAGAAATATAAAACAATAGAAATTTTCTGCACACATTTTGGAATAAAAAGTGTGAGAATATAAAATAGTACCGTTTATATTTAAATAAATAAAAATGAGACAAAATGGAGGAATTACATTAAACCTTTACTTAAATAATTATAACTTTTTATTTAAAAAAACACTGAGCTCAAAAGTTCTTGGAAAGTTTTATTGAAATCGGTTACCGAAAAGTGCGCGAAACCGGATTCATCCTCTCGTTTGTTAGTGGAGGAATATTTTCTTCAAATTTAAATGGGGCTAATACTGAGGTACCCTCTTTCCAACAATCATCAAAATCGGTCCACAAAGCCGGAGTAATCGCGTAACACACATAAACAAAAAAAAAAAAAAAAAATACAGGCGAATTGAGAACCTCCTCCTTCTTTGAAGTTTTTTACATTTTTACAATTGTTACAATTGTAACAATTTAACATAGGTTTCAAATAAAAGTTTAGTAAATACCTAAAAAACTTTTCAGTCGCGATATTTACAATAACGGAAATTCATACTTGAACTGCTCGACAAAGTTGTAGGTGTCCTAGTAAAGTAGGAAATTAAAGCAAATTAATGAAACAAATGACAGTCGATTCGTGTTTTATTTTCAAATTGGACAAAAAATCAAAAAAGTAAAATAATCGGCCAGTCTTACGTAAAACCACTGCATTATTTTGGAGATTTTTCCTAGTCTTCTGCTAAATGTCAGATCTATACATGAATAATATATTAATAAATAATTTTCTATATTTAGCGAAAGGTGAAAATTTTCATCGAGAGCTGTTCCCTGGGGCAACACCGAGTCAGACATTTTCCAATTGGATGGATAATTTGGAATATATTTTGGAATTTAAATTGTATTTTAAACATTATCATTTCTTTTTATTAAAAAAGTGCGCATTTGACCTCCATCTCATCTGATGGAGATTGACGACGAAGTCGACGATGGCGCATGAATACTTAAATAATGCCTATACACTTTTGCCTTGAAAAGGCCCAAATTATAGCGGTCAAGGAACAAGTATGCAGGCAGGAAATTCCACTCGCCTTCTTGGAATATCCCCAACATAGGGATGGAACAGCTTTCGCTAGACCCCCCGATGATGGAACGAGGAAGATGGAATTACATCGTGCAATTCCCATTGAATTCAATGTTCGTTATGTGCGTTATTAATCTGTATTTTTTCGTTGTATAGCATGTTAAACATTAAAATTTTTTGATAACTCTTCTCGTAACCGGAGGCTTCAACGAGGAGGTCTGAAAGTTCCTTATTGGGAGTTTCGTTATAATGTGTAGTTTCAACTGATTTAATTGGAACAGCACCTTTATCTGATGTAGTTTGTCCATCTAATTGTTTTTTTTCAGAATAATCATTTTTCTTCTTTCCGATTACACGCTTGTTTAAATTCTTGTTACACTTTTTTAACTGAGTATTTTTCTCAATCAGCTTTTCCACTTTTTCCTTTAGGATTTTTCTATTCTTTTTGGCTTTATTTCTTATTTCTAATGTAGAAGCATTGTTGTCCTGTATTATACTTTAGCCTTCTTTATTGTTTCAGCCCTTCTAGTATTTGCTTTTCTCCATTTTGCACGTTGTTCTTGTTTATCTTTCTCTGTAAGTCTTTCTTTTTTCTTTTTTATGTTTTCTTTAACCCTTTTCAAACGTTTCACTCGAATTTCTTCATATTTATCTGGTTTTTCCTTTTTTAGTCTTTCTCTGTAAGCTTTTTGCCTTTCGGCATTTGTTTTTGGGCGCTTTCCTAAAAAAGAAAATTATAGTTTGGGTCAAATTAGAGACTTACAGACTTAGAAGGGCGTAACTATTTCTATACCAATTTTTATTAAAAAAAAATATGTCATAACATATTAACAACATATAACTTATCAGAATTACAACCATTTATGTGCACAACAAAACAAGAAGAAGAAAAAATACTTTCATTCTTTTATGGGTGTTCTAATTTAAAATATC